AGTCGTATGTCACGGAGATAATCTGCTAGCCATTCAAGAATTGACCAAGAGGTTGTCATGTCCGCTCTGCTGTTCTGACCTCTGTCCAGCTCGGAATCAAGCCAACAGGACCGATCTCCGATGCAATGGGCAAGAAATGTACTGACCCCGGCCGAATCGAGTCACTGGGCGCCTGATGCAGAGAAACCTGGCCCTCCACCATCGTGCGTGATAGGGCTTTGTGGTGAAAATGACATTAGGGGTCGTGTGGACGGATCGACTCAATCAGAGTGGCTCCAAATGTCCTTGCAGCCTTTAACCGGAAGGGCTCAGAGGGGTTAATAAAACTTTTGCTCAACCGATCTCCGGAAAATTCATGTCCGTGGGACAAATGTTCATGTGTGCATGCGTGCGTCTGCGTGCTTGTGTGTGATGTAACTTTGGCAATACAAAGACTTAGAAGGAAATATTCACGAAAGTAAAGCATGAGCGACCCTTCACAATATGCATGTGGTTTGAATTTGATGTATATTTACTTATGGCCATTGTATCATGTATTCATGCAGATATGCCATACCTATGGCGTTATATCGGATCATGTCTCTGTGGGTTTATGATAGGGGTCACATTGGTGTGCATGTGCTTATTGCTCATTTTATGTCATGCTTCCATAGCTTGTCACCCTGCGGGCATGTACCGACCTGCAAAGGTGGACATAGTTGTAATGTGAACTTTGTATACTCATAAAACGGAATAGTCTATAATTTCGGCATGTGCTTATAAGTTTCGGTTGGTGACGAAGCAAGAGAACATTGTTGATTATAGAGTTGCAGGACAGTATACTCGGTTAGTTTCTTCTTCTGAGATGTAGGTATATTTAAGAAGGGTAGATATTGTTCGTATTCACTGGCTTTCTGATAATGTTCTGAGCTTGTTGCTGACGGAATGTATGAAATAAGCGGAAAAGGGGTCACATAAGCCTGTTCATTGGGATTTAAGTGTCAGGGGGACAGAATAGGAGTCTGGCCTTAGGCAAGACAACCAAAATGATAAGTGCTTCTTACCAAATTAAAAATGATTTTTTTAAATGGATTAAAGTAATGAAATTAACACAGTGTTGAACAGTATGAAATGACCACGTTAAAGGTAAAGTAATTTGTGCACGAAAGAATTTCGCTTTTTGAATTTGATCAATAAATTTGCGTCTAACAGCATGCGACCTAATCTGTATCGTTGACA